ATAACAAAACTCAAAGGCATTGACATTTTTTCCCCTTTTTGGTCATTGATAAATAATTCAGGGAAATTATTTTGAATTTTTATGAATGTATCTGACCAGGCAACTGAATATTTGATCATTTTGTTTTACAGAAAAAAAAAGATCTTTCATTGTGTAGGAAAACCTTTGAATAGTCTTTAAGTTAGGATTAGCAATTTTTCATTGCTAAATTTTTTTTTGCTAATGTTCAGCCAATACAAGGCCTAAGAGCCACTCAAGGTAGAGTATTACTGTGGAGTTGTATGTAAAGGCAAAAAGTGAAATTCTTGGCAGCTATGTGGGAAAGATAACAGATAACTCTAGACTTGAAGATGTCAACATTTAATTAGTGAATAAAACTATAGTACTAAACAGGAAATAAGAAATAAATCTCTACTCTTGTTCAAAAGACCTGGGGTAAGGTGAGTTGGAACTGGACAATAGACGAACCTATCTATGCCTACTGAAGGATGATAAATAAATAAAAAATAAATAAATAAATAGTAAATAAAATTTCAGAGATGTTAGAAGTGTAGAGTTGAAGTAGACTTTAGAAGGAAATGGAAACCCAATCCTAAAGAGAAAACAAAGGATAAATCTCTACTCCTGTTCAAAAGACCAGAGAGGAGTGTGAAGCAAGCGATAGGCAAACCTATCTACTTCTATAAAAACCTATCTACTATAAACACTGGCTGACCCTTAGTAATCCGGTATGATTGAGACCTTTTTCAGTGCTGGATAAGCGATTTTTGCCTGATTAGGGTTAGAATACACTCATCTCAACAGGTAAGTTCTTTATCCTACCTTTAAAATCACCTGGAAATCAGTACATGTTGGTTAATAAAAAGAAAATATAATGGAAATCAAGTGTAATTTATATATTATGCACAAATTTTTATATTTGCCTTTTACACATTCAGGAGCACTTTTTTTTTTTTTGAAGCCATGGTTGGAGATAAATATCAGCAAGTTATAAAAATATATGCAAAGAACGAGTAGAAGTGGGTGATTTTTCAGTGGGCCCACATTGCTAGCAAATGTGACACATGGTCAATTTAAAGTGGGTTTTAACAGCAATACCATGGGAAAATTGCTCAATATCTCTTGGTGATTCCTCTTTTCGGGTTGCCTTAATTGCCGAGTAATGATCCTGTAACAAAAGAGAAAATCACCTACCTCAAAAAAGAGTTTGTGTTTTATCTGTGGTCTGCCAAAGGAGAATTATTTTTTAGTCTTTCTGTTTATGTTATAGAAAAAATTGTAAATGCGACATTTTTTACATTTAACGACTCAAGATAAAACACTATGAGACTCCAATTGTGCATCAACAATAAAATATATATTGAAACAATAACATACAAAACAATCATGTAATGTTGTGTAGTAATTAAGGGAGAAAAAGTCGCTTCCCTTCAACTGCATTCTGATTAAGATTGAATGTTCAAAAGAATATCTCTAGAATAAGAATGTTCAGGATTCTATGTTGAATAGAGTCTGGTGTTAGAATAGAATACAGTTAATTAAGAAGTGTGTTGTTTTGAGTAAGAAAGAGAGTTCTGGTTCATGAACTTGGCTTAGTCACAGAGAGGAAGAATATGTGTAATGTGATACAAAAATCTGTGTCTGTGTGTGCGTTGTGAGTAAAGTCGTGGATTTGTGTAGACAGGCGTAAATAGCTGGACACTACTGAAAGTTGTGGAAACAAACCACTTGTTTATAAAGCTGCTGGTTGGCTCCAGGCGACAATGCGGGAAAATTGATTCAGCACAAAAATGTTTGATTGGCTAAAATTCGACCAATCACTGATTTTGTAACAAAGAACATGTGAGCAAGTTCATGGCAGAAAAATTCAAAGTGGTGACTGCGATTGCTAAATTGTTTTATGGAAAGACAGTATAGATTTACTAGAGAATCGCAGACAAATAAATTGTGGGTGTGGAAAGCATAGCAGTCGCTACAAAATCATAACGGATAATGCTCCTCTGGTATCCAAAATAAAATGTCTTAAAAAAATATTCCACCAGTAAAACAATGGATATAAAAAGGTTAAATCACTGTCTTGAATGATGGTCAGAATTTTTTAAATAATAGTTTGGATACAAAGTTCATTCTGTTTCTGATGTGACAAAGATAAATTGACAAAGAATTGATGAGTTATCTCCCTTAGCATCATCATCATCTCCCTTGACTTCTGTAATCGTAGGGCAGATCCAAATGCAGAAGACTGTAATAAAAGAGAAAATCACCTACGTCGAAAAAGAGTTTGTGTTTTCTGCATGGGCTACCAAAGGAGAATGAAAGAAAATAGTGAGCAAAAATCTGGTACTTTAGGCATCAGAGAAACTCTGCTAATGTTCTTTCCTTCCCTGAATGGCTAATCAGAAAAATCGCTCAGTGAATAAAAGGCCATTCCTTTTTGCTTACCAAGGACAGAACAATTTTTGAACTTGGTGAGCAAAAGTGCATTTCTCCTGTTGCGAAGGGAAGGTTGGATTTCTCACCCCCTTTTTTCATGACTACATTGCCTGTTTATACAAATTTGTGATTGAACTTACTGCTGGCATATGGATTTTTTTTTTTTTTACTGACCCCATTCAATGATACCCAAACAAAAACGCCCTAACACTTTTCCACAACTCTCTATCAACAGAAGCCATTATCAATTCTGTACAGTCATACCTGTCCATTGTTTGACATTGTCCAACCATTTTTTTTTTTTGCGTTGGCGTCCTCTCCTACACCCACCTTCAACAGTGCCTTGCACAGGCTGTTGTGCCTTGTAATGTGTCGAAACCACGCCATTTTTAGTGTCGGAACACAGATTTTTTTTGTTTCTACTGACCCCATTGGTTGATACACCCAAACAGACCCAAGTACCCTTTTGAGGGTAATGCTTGGGGTGGCCGTCTGGGGCTTGAACTTAATATTATTTTGAAACTACCCCAGCTGAGGCCAGGTATGTCTTACTAATATTCGAAAATGCTGAAAAACAGCTGACACAGCAACTAACACCTAAACAATAGCGACCTGTAAAATCTGAAATTATTTTTATAAGAATTAGTGTCAGATTGGACATTCAGTAGCAACAAAAAGGGGGTCTTATTTGTATGGTGTGTGGGGTACTTATAAAACAAAAGGAAGGTTACAAAGATGAAGGTATTAAAAATATATTTGTCTTTTTCAAAAGACACTTTATTCCATATAATCATGAAAGAACTTTGCAATAAGTGCCAAATTGTACTGGATTCTCTCTCGGACAAGGGCCAAATTCTTTTACACTGTTTCTAAGAGTCCCATGTTAATGTCTCCCCTTGAGATCTCAGATTTTCACCTTTTCTCCCCACCCATTTAAAATTGTCATCTAGTCATGAATGAGATTCCACTCCAGTCCCCTCTGCCCCAAGTTAAAAATAAACACTTTTCTTGCAAGCTCTGATTAGATAAATACTGCTCTACAACATCTGTCTATATCTGAGGTATTATGATTATTTACATTATTTTGACTGTTATCCTCATCTTCATTGTCATATTCACAATGTTTCGGCCATTGTATGCTCTGGCCTTCTTCAGGTGATTGGAATTTCGAACTGAACCCTAGTACAATCTTCCCTGGCGGACAAAATAAAGGGTTTGATCTGAAATTCCAATCACCTAGAGAAGACCGGAGCGTACAATGACTGAAGCGTTGTGAATATGGCAATGGAGATGAGGATAACAGCCCGAATAATGTAAATAATGCAAGTAATCATAATACCTCATCACAGAGATCCAATCACCTGAAGAAGGCCGGAGCGTACAATGTCTGAAACGTTGGGAATATGGCAATGAAAATGAGGAAAACAGTCCAAATAATGTAAATGCTCTACAACATTTTACTAACTTTTAACACATTTTATTGAAAAAAGAAAACCATTCAAAACATATAATTTTGTTAAAGCAACAACAAGGTCCTCTGTTGTCTCCTGTGGGCCAGAGGCTTCTTTTTCTGCATCTCACTCCACAGTTTTTTTTTAGTTTTTGTTCTGAGGAAGTCTTAGACGTAGTTGGTAGAAACACCCTCAGAAGAACAGTAACGATTGAAGCAACTTTCAGAATTGACAACTGATTCTTGGTTTTAGAAACAAAAACAGTTTGTCAAATGTTAAAATTATCAGTTTAAACCTTTCCAATACTGTGAAGTGATGTGGTCTACCTAACAATGACTAGTTTCTGAGATCATTGGTGTCAGTTTTGTTCAAATCATATTGCAAACAAGAGCAATACCTGAAACAGTGGACTTGTACTCAGTTCAACAATTTCATCAGTGTGACATAGAACAGAGAGAGAAGAGATTAGGATGAAGGTGCTAATTATTTGGTGTAAAGAATTTGGATTCTGGGTAATTCCAGAAATAAGTTTATTTTTTTTTTTTTTTTTCTTTTTTTTTTCTCTAATAATTGTTTCTGGGGTTGAGTTATTAGTTAATTAAATGTAATAATTCCAGAGTGATTAAGAGACGGATTCGTTAAAGTAAAGTTTGTGATAAATGGCGAATTGGACTTTTGGGTTGTTTGAATGGCGGAATTCAACCAGACAGGATAAGTGGTTTTGGCAAAACTTAAGCGTTGGCTGCGGAAGACCCAGCAGGAGGTCCGAATCGATTTTAGTATCTCTTGAAAACTGGGTTCCTGCTGAGTTTCGGGGGCCAGAAAAGCTTGCATGGTGGTCAAAGGCGATTTGCATATTAAAATTCAGGGGGTGCCTAAAGATGGTTTAGCTCCGCCTCTCTCTATATAAGCTGCCCGCACGCTTGAGTTAGTCATATCGGAGATCGGAACGCGGCAGAACGCGGAATAGACGGCTTGTTGGAATTTGCTGGTCTGGTCTGTTGGTTGTCCTGCGTCAAGAAGACCGATCAGAACCAAGAGATAGAAATAGAACCCGTACGAATCCAGATAACTTCGTCAACAAAGCTGTGAGAAAGCAGACTGCTATATCGTAGGATGCAGACGAAAATCCACGAATTACTTCCCTTAGATCAGCCGAAATTGTTTAGGCAGAAATTTTCCTACTCTCTCTCTCTCTGTCACTTCCGACCCCAAACGAGTGAACCTCGTTACGACATTTTGTACTCGTGTAAATTCTTCGGTAGTGACATAAAAACAGTGGCCTAAAAAAAATCTTTGTACAGGAACCGAAAGAACCGAAAGAGTTTTTTTTCTTTTTCATGTCTTTGCGGCTACGACAAGAAACTTTTTTTTGCATGAATAGTGAGTTCCTTTCAGCGTAATACCCAGCCATTTAATTCATCCTACCTCCGGATCGTTCTGAGGGATCGAAATAATGCTGTTCGGATCAAAAATTCACAACGTGGCGGATAGTGGTGGTTCCTTCAGTTTACTGGGGGAGGACCGGGTGGTTTACTTTTCATCCAGAACCACCAGAGAGACAGGACAGAGCTGCAACAGGCAGGGTTTATTATGTTGAACAAGGAAATCTGGTCTCAGGCCAGCATAGTAGTTTCAGGTGAGCCCTCATTCCCTATCAGTGTCTTCAACAAAAGATGAGAACCACCTCATAGCAAACAACCCATTATTTTTAGCAACAATCAGTATCATTTTCATGCCTAGGTCTACTGCTGATGCCTTAACCAATGGCACACATCAGTTTCTTAAAACGCTTGATAAAACCATTTCAAATAAGCCATTAGAATTTTTGCTTTAGATATTTTGAAGACCTTTTGACAATGTGTGAGCATTGGAGATTGCTACATCAAAAACAATCTAAAAAATCTCTGAGGAAGATTTCTCAGTTCTCAAGTTTTTCTTATCCTTACTAACAGGTTTGTTAATGTCCACTGAAATTAAGAATCTCTCCACAATCCCTTTCCTCTTTTACTTTATTCTAACTCAGATCCCGAAAACTATATAATGAAGATGGTACCACAATGTATGGGCGCAGTTCCAAATATCTGGATGACAACCCCTAATTGAGGCTCTCATAAAATCAAATTTGGAAAAAGACTAAAAGAGATTATTCAATGCCTCCAAAACAAAGCTAAAAATTTTTTTCTTTTTTAAAATGTCTTTAAATAAATAAATTGTTCGGACTTTGTCCATTTCTTAATATACACGTCAAAAGTAATGGTTCATCACCGCCGAGCTGATCCTAAATTCGCTCAAATCCTGACTGGTATAAATTATGCCCTCAAAATGATGTTGGTCCTCCTTTAAAAACATTTGATCTAAATTAATCTCAAATGGAACTGATACTTGGGCTAAAGAATATGGAAAACAGTTGGTTGCTTGTAAAGTTATCAGATTAAATAGCTATCCAATCTTCTGTCTTTATAAGACTTAGATCAGACCAAGAATGAATATCTGAGCTGGGGATGCCCAGGCGTAATTGTCCACCGCTGGCAGAGTTAAAAAATGATTAAGCAGTCTTGTGGGTGATGAATTATTCTCCACCCTACAACCTTTATCCCACATTCAAAATGTTGCAAGTTTCACCATCCTCTTGCTATTGCTATGGCAAATGTTCAAAAGAGTTATATTCCTTAGTCCTGCCAGTTCAGACCTGCTTTTTCTCGTTCACGGTGGCAAATCACCTCCATTCCCTTTGTGTTCCTTTGGTAAGAACTAAGTTAATCTCAGACCGCTTCGTTACCAGAACTGTTACTTTGTCAGACTCCCATGATGCTTCTCTGACCACCACAATATAAAGTGGGATGTCCAGGGGACTTATATCTAGACATTTATTCTCAACCTCATAATATGCCACTTAAGTTTCTTTTTAGGTCTTACAACAATATCATTCAGTAGATCCCCTACTTTGAGTGGCCCTTGGGCCTTGTAAATGGGTGTGCTGGCAAGATGATAATTTGCATGGACGAGTGAATAACACGAGACTTTAATCTTTTTTATTTAATTTTTATTCAACTTAATGCTTCCTCAACTTAAGGTCAGTGAAATACGTTGACACAAAATTTTCAAAACAATATCCTTACATTTTATCTGCATTTTAAACATATCTGCAAGTGCCTTATTTCAGGTGGTTATTATATATAACTATATATATGATATTTCCTTGCTTGCAAAACTGGGTTTCGGATGTGAAATTTCGAATAAAATTGTTTCAGCAAATTATTACATGCTATGAAATTAGGTTGATTTTAATATTCCAGCATAATCCTACAGTCAGAATGGTATGAAAAACCACCGTATTATTTATTGATGCATAGAAGAATAAATGCTGATAATAAATCTAATTATTGAGAGATATTGTCGGCTTATGTTGATCTTTAGGATACTGAATAAATATAGGAAAATTGAAGGTAAAAAGCAGTTCGAGTTCTAGCTGAGGTCGTTAAAGTTCATTTTGCATTCATGACCCTCAGGAAAGGCCTGAACCCATTTATTACTTTGTTCTCTACCCTCACAAATACCTTGAGGAAAACGCAGTTACCGGCATACCACTATTATAAAGAAGACTGAATGTGAAAGAACATGGACGAACAAACAACTATTAATAAGTTGCCTATCAAAACTACAATGACATTTACTTACCCGAATAACTCACCCTAAATAAATTGCTTACCCAAACAACCTTCCATAAAGAAATTATCAACCCAAACAACATTCCCGAAAATGAATTACCTAACCAAACAACGTACTCGTCAATAACCAGCCTATCCAAACACCCTTTCCCTAAATGAACCGCTCCCCTCAAAATCCACCTGTAAAGAAATTGCCTACTCAAACAATCTACCTGAAACTGTCTACCCAAATATATCTCCTCAAAATAAACTACTTCCCCACCAACCCCATTAATAAAAATTTTTGCCTTATTATCTAAGCTTGGCAATAAATCACTAATTTGCATATACCTCCTAAATAAACTGCCTATTCAAACAATCTTCCCATGAATAAATCTCTTAAACAGCCAAGATCAGTAAAAAGCTTTTCTCTTTGTTGGAATTTTACAGATTTTGTCCCCGCCCCCAATGATATCATTTTATAGCCAATTCTCAAATGGTCTCAAATTTTAACAAAATATGTAAAAACTAAGTGGACTGTGGGGACTTACCTAAATGAAAACCTACCAAGAAGATGGATCACGCGGGCTAGTTATAAAATGATAATTGCTGTTTAAAATAAAAACATATTTGACAAACTTAATTTTTTTTTTTTCTATGGGGTATTTATTAAAAGACAGGACTCTTCCTAAAGACAAAAAGGAACTTAAGCAAAATCATTGAACAATGTTACTAAGACATGCTACAAACGTGTTTGACAGATATTTTGACTATCTCCTTTCTTGATAAAATGTCTGTCTCTGGTGGCACGCATATTGAACTTTTTTTAAGTTTTGTTAAATCGTTTATAAAATTTACATCCCTTTGAATATTTTGTTCAAATTTTGATAAATATTTTTTTTATTATTCAACATGACGCCCATTTAATTTTGTTTGCCTAAGACATAGAATTACTCAGATATTCACATTTTAAATTTGACAAGAACTGACTCTATCAAGACAATATCATGTGCAGTGGAGCATTGTATTCTAGTTCGACTGCACTGATTTTGCAAATATATATTTTAAAGGGTTTAAATTTAAATAGATAGCAACAATAAAAGTCAGTGTATCCTGCCAAAGACGAGATGTTAATAAGCAATCCTCGCTGATCATTACGAATCAGCTTAAGTACATCTACAGGGTACGATGGATAAATTGTCGTCTAAATGACACAAAAATGTAAATAACACTGACATCTCATTTTAACAGATACATTTACAAAAATTGCACGAAAATATATTGAAATACTAAAGAGTAAGTTTATTCAATAAAATCGCTATTGGCTTCAACCATGGCCTCCAGACGACTTCGGAATCTCCTGTAACTCTTATGGACGGTCTCTTTGTTTAAGTTGGTGAATGCTGCCATAATCCTTGCCTTCAGTTCAAAGAGTTTTGCTGGTCTCTCGCTCAAGTGCGCCCTCCCCCACATAAGGGGGTTGCAGTCTGAAGAGTTAGGGGGTCATATGTAAGGGATGATGTAGTCGCAGAAATTGTCTGACAGTCATGATTGGGTTCTCCTGCTTGTGTGGTACGGTGCAGAGTCCTGTTGCCAGACTTCCAGCAGCGACCCTCTTGACCCAGGGCTGCACTACTTCCTCAGGGCACTTGATGTAGGCTTCCATGTTATGCTTGAGGTCCTGTGGGATGATGAATGGAGGAATAACGTCGACATCACTAGTGGTCACTCCAAACACCTTCATAATCACCATTAGACTCATCCACCTCTTTCTGAATCCTATGCACTGTCTCTTTGAAATAGTCATATTGGAGCTGTCAATGCAAATGCCAAGCAGTACAGCATGCTGTTTCCAAATTTCTGTCAGAGTAAATTGCGCTATGGTGCTTTTTTTTTTTTTTCTCACAGATAGTGTCTAACTGATCCTGCTATATTGTGCAGTTGACAAAATCAAAACAAACAACACGCATGCGCGAAATTAAAAATATAAAATAGTGACAATTTACCCATCGCATCTTGTATTTATTAAATTGCTGTTTGTGACTGTTTTCTGTAGATATAATTCAAAATAGTATCGTTTGTCTGACAATTTTGGACAGATTAGTCTGTGGTCATGATCATTAAGGCCCCATGGTCAGTTATTGTGCTTATCCGTGTTAGGCAGTAATGTTTTCTATCCGGTATTTCTGCTACATATGTTACACTACAGATCAAGCAATGCTAAATAGAAACGGAATGTGTCTCATCGAACTGGCAACCGTTATCATGCCTCGCCTACTGACCGAAAGTGAAGTGACTATATCGAATCAATAGCTGCATCTACTGCAAGGAAAGTTGGATCACTGTGTCGTGCCAAAACATTCTTTCTCTTCAAAATCCATCTTGCATATCTTACAAATCTACCGTTTGTCTGTACATTGAATGCTGTTTACCATATCTGGTCCTGTGCTCCTGCTAGACATCGAGAGATTCTTAACAAAATCCAAAGAAAGATGTAACCTGATCAGGCATCTCAACTTCACTCATTTTCTCACCGGCATGACGTTGCTTCTCTCTGTCGTTTTTACAAATATTTTCATGGTAACTGCTCTGACGAGTTTTTTTCCCCTTCAAAGACATTATTTAATTAGAAAAGCTTTCAATTGATTTTATGAATAATATACATTAAGGACAATATTGTTTGACGAAAACAAATTTTTCGACGAAACATGAATTTTTACAAGATTTGTTTTCATTTTTTTACAATTTCAAATTGAATAATTTATAAAGTTTTTAAATCTTTTAAAATTCATTTTCATTGAGATAATTCTTAGGAAATATTTTTATTAAATAAAACTATATTTACTAATCATATATTGTAAAGATTTTTACAATCTGATGACCCTGAATATTTTAAAAAGAATTTCGATTTGTTTTTGTATGCGTGATTACGTGCAGAATTTCTGAAGTATGCATGTACAAACCGATAAATCTTGGATTTAACGGTCACATGTTTTAAGAGTTGGTCCCCACTTACGTCGAAAAAAACTTTATCGCCTGCTTTACCATACTTAACTATGTACACGTTCAGCTGTCAATCTAATGTAAATAAATCGATTAACACGTCAGAAAAAAACAAGACCCCGTAGTTAAGAAATGTTTATATACAGCATTTTATGCTATAAGTAAGTAATATTTGTTTCAAATCAGATTAATTTAACTTTAAATTTGCTAATTTTCCTCAACGCTTCAGAAATACATATAAATACATAAATGCAGATTATTAAAACTGAGAATTAATTTTTGTTTACAAAGGTGTTAATAATGGCCGTTTGAACGATTTTAATGAAGAAAAAATTGATTCCAATCAATATAATTTCTGTTTGAGAGTATTTTGCTTACTAGAAATAGTAAATTTTCAACCCTTTAGCTTTGAACTAAAGTTAAAATTAAAGCTTCAAAAAAAAATTTCATTTTTTAAAAATAATTTTAAACCTTACGTATAGCGAATTAGTGGCAGTACCTATATGAAAGTATAAAAATACATTATTATAATAAAATTACTAGCAATACATTTTTAAAGCAAAATAACCAATAATACATTTTATCTGTAGTTGAAGGTATGCAGATGCGTTCAAAATATTTAGATTTCGGCATTAAATATCCCATAGAGCCAGATCATATCAATAATAGGGTATTGCTGCCATATCTGGGCTAAAGCTGCCAAGGCCTCATTTTACCAAACTCGATATAGTTCAGAAGCGTCTACGCAGCCTTGTTGGTGATAAATTATTTTCCATTTTATAAACCCCTTTCCCACAGACAAAATGCCACAAGCCTCTTGTTACTCTGTCAATATTTCTATGGCAAAGGTTCTGACAAACTGCATGCCTTAGTTCTGACCTTCCCCTGTCACGTACACTGAAACGAGTCGTCATCAATTCTCTGCGTATTCCATTAGTAAGGGGGGAGTTCTATCCGGAAAGCTTCTTCACAGGAATCGCTGTTTTGTGAAACAGTCTCCCACGTGGATGCTTCCCAGATCACTCCACTCTCTTAACCTCTTCAAATCTAAGGATAAGCGTTAGATTTCCTAATCACCTTATAAAATGCACTCCTTGACTTATCCTCTTAGGTTCAAATAAACCATAAAATCATTCAGTAACCCTCTACCTTGAGTGGCTCTTGTGCCTTGTATTGAGTGATTAATTCGTAAATGAAAATTTTTAAGGCACAACTACGAGGTAAAGTCAGAAATTATCCGCACAGTTATGGAATAAGTGCGGGTAATTTTTGACTTACCCTCGTCTGGGTGCGGTGGCTTTACCCAACATTACATGTTGCTAATCCGCGACTTTTGGCACGTCAGTGTATATAGTGAATTTTTACTTTAATGCTTAGTGCATCATGATTTTCTTAAACTTCTTTTCTTTTCATCTGAAATTATGTTTAGCTGCATTGAGATTAGTAGATAAAGATATATCTTAAACGTAAATAAGAACACACTCCTTCCTCTTCTTTTGAACAGGAGTAGAGGTTTATCTCTTATTTCCTGTTTACGATTGGGTTTCCAGTTCCTTTTAAAGTCTTTTTCATTTTCTTTCACTCCCAATATCACCTTGCATATTAGTCGCATTGTCGCCTTGCTTGATTAAAAAAATAAAATAAAATAAAAGGAAAATGCAGAAGGATTAAACTCACTATACCAGTGAATGATTTGTCTGTGGTTTGTCACTTCAGAACAACGATCATGACTCTCCACATCTTCTCAATTTCAGTACTGCTTGTTAATTTACGATTCCTCATTTTCTTTCTGTTACTTTCCCCATCTTTATTATAGAATATGTAGGCTAGACAAAAATAACAAAATAATAATTGTAGTGAATGTAATTTGTCAGAATTTTGACGACTTAAATTGAGTGGGAGGAGTTTGAATTCTGATAAGGATGAATTGTCTTTGTTTAAGTTTTTCATATAAGCCTAAAAACTGGTAGCACACTCAAAATCAAGAGTTCGAATTCAAGTCCGGCACTTTCTCTTTACGTTCCAGTGGTTTAAGCAGAGAGACGAGTCACACACACGAAGAGAATAGTAACTGGCTGACCTGTTGACACCAGTTCTCCCAATCTATCTATCTATCTATCTATCTATCTATCTATCTATCTATCTCAGTCTGCTCATATCTATCTATCTATCTATCTATCTATCTATCTATCTATCTATCTATCTATCTCAGTCTGCTCATATCTATCTATCTATCTATCTATCTATCTATCTATCTCAGTCTGCTCAAATCTATCTATCTATCTATCTATCTATCTATCTATCTATCTATCTATCTCAGTCTGCTCATATCTATCTATCTATCTATCTATCTATCTATCTATCTATCTATCTATCTATTCGCCCTTGCATAGAATACTACTGCCATATATGGTCTGGAGCCCCCGCTGTTCGCCTTAAGGTTCTCGATAAAATCCAAAGACGGATATGCAATGTGATTGGCCCTGATCTGGCATCTCGTTTACAGTCGCTCTCTCACAGATGTGCCGTCGCTTCCATCGGTCTTTTCTACAAATATTTTCACGGTAACTGCTCCGATGATTTACTTTCGCTGGTTCCCAAATTTTATGAATTTAAACGTGCTACTAGGCTGACATTTTAGTCCCATTCTTTCACTGTCGAAATAGTTAAATGTAGCTGTCTCTTCTACTCCAATATCTTTATGTCTCGCACTTTTCGTCTGTGGAACTCCCTTCCTCTTATTTGTTTCCCTGGTAGCTATAATCTCCAAATATTCAAATGCCATGTCAATCAACATCTCCAGATGCCTTGATCCTGATCCCTGTCTTTCTCTTCATCCTTTCCTCTATCACACCTCCTTACTCTTGCTCCCACTCTCTGTAACCCCCTTGCGTGCTAGTGGCGCTCCCACATTGCTTGGAGTGAAAGGCTTGAAAAAAAGAATCTAACACATGTTACTCAATGAAAGAACTTACAATTTACACAGTAAGTCACTTATAAACTTTATATGAAATAAATACAAACTTTCTACAATATGCAGAAGGAACTGTTTTCTTTCCTTCTAATCACTCTTAAATTTTATATAAAATACATTTATTATAAACCTTATTCCTAATTATTTACAGTGTCCAGTGACTTGACCCAAAGAGTTGTGGCTACGGCAGTGGTGAACAAAAACCCGGAGCGTTGAGTTAAAGTGAGATAACTAAGACATCCTGTAGAGGCATGACACGTTGAGCTAGAACAATCTACCTCAGTAGATGAAAGGGATTAATTCGAAATTCCAGTCACCTGAAGTAGGTCGGAGAGTACAACGGCCAAAACGTCGAGAACATAACAATAAAATAAGGACAACAGTCAGAATAATTTAAATATTGTAAATAATGACAATATTTCAGAAATATAGACAGTTATTCCTAATTGCTTGTTATTTCTTGATGGAGTTCAGATACTCAAATTATTCATCGAAGTTTGGGTTGATGAATCATTTGCTTAATCATTTCATTTAATCTTTTATTATTATTATTATTATCATTACTCGTTCTTATTTATATGTTAATAAAAATTATTTTCCTCAAAGCTCCTAACACTATTATTTGTTTATTCTACCCTATTTTACAAGACGCCACTCGTTAAAGGTAACATCTATTTCAAACTGGACACACAGAATCAGGGAAGATATGAAAGTCCAAGGCTGTTTTTTTTGTTTTTTTTGTTTTATATTCGTTAACATTATGCTGCCAATATTTATATACCATACTTTTCTTCAGTCTGTTGTTAACTGGGGCAAAAAATGATTTGTTAATTTTAACGCTTCTATTAATCATCCGACAGACTCCTTGCTGCCTTCCATCTGAATAGCTGATGCTAACCTCCAGAAGAGTGACGCGTTGCGCCTTCATGGTCTAACGTTCTCATGAAGTGAAAAGACTATATTAAATACATTGCTAGGTCAGCTGCTAAGAAAGTTGGTTCACTGTGTCGTGTAAGACAATTTTTCTCTTCAGAATCTATCTTACATATCTATAAGTCTACCATTCGTCCATACTAAATATATTGTTGCCACATATTGTCCGGTGCCCCTGCTATTTATCTTGAGCTTCTTGATAAAATCCAAAGAAGAATATGCAATATTATTAGTCCTGATCTGGCAGCTCGGTTTCAATCACTTTCCCACCACCGCCAGGTTACCGCTCCGTGTATTTTCTATAAATACTTTAATGGTGATTCTTCGAATGATCTCTTCGCTATGCTACCTAGAATTTTATGAATTTAAGCACAGTGCTAGACTGACGACGAGGTCTCATCCATTTACAGTTGAGTTGGCTATATATAACCGCAAGTCCTATTCTTACAGTTTATTTTCTCGCATTTCTCGCTTGTGGGACATTCCTCTGACTCTATACTTTCCAGTCAACTTTAATCTTCAAAAATTTAAATGCAATGTCAATCGATATCTACTGTCTTCCTGATTTCTTTTCTTTTCTTCTCGCCTCCTTTTGTCTTAGTGGCTTTACTTCCTTGCTTAGGATGAACTCGATAAAAAGAAATATAAAAACTTGTTGGGTTAACTTCCCCTTCTCTTCCCTAATTAGTATGCACCGGTCTTGGCCCCTCATTGACTACTTAATGGCCAACCAGTGACGCGCTAGTCTGTAAAGAGGTGTTTTGAGGTAAAAATCTCATGAAGTGTAAATGCTGTTCGGCCACGTCGGTATAGCAATGTGCTGAAACTGTGAGTAAAGACAATCTATTAGAATATACGCTAGCATTGCTTTCCAGGGTATGGGAGAAGGGATGTAGCTTATCTCTAAAATGTGGGTGCTCCTTACTTTCGGCGTTGTGCCACATCCAAGTTACGTTTGGAAAATCGCTAGCTTATCTCCAAACTAGCAGGTTTCCTTTGTAAAAAAAAACAAAAAAATCTTCCCTTTACGTTCTTCCAACTTCTCCGTGTTCGTTCTTCTTTCTTTCTTTCTTTCTTTCTTTCTTTCTTTCTTTCTTCCTTCCCTTCTTTCTTTTTTTCCTTCCTATCTTTCATTCTTTTTCTTTCTTTCTTTCTTTCATTCTTTATTTCTTTCCTTCCTTCTTTCCTTACTTCCTTCCTTCCTATCTTTCTTTTTCTTCATTTCTTTCTTTCTTTCTTTCCTTACTTCCTTCCTATCTTTCTTTCTTTTTCTTCATTTCTTTCTTTCTTTCTTTCTTTCTTTCATGCTTGAGTAAATAACTTCACCTACTGTAGGTAGAACTGATACTACCTATAAATATTTGAGGGTGCCACCCAACACCCTCAAATATTTCTAGATTAATCATAGTATACTCCACTAATGGAATGCTCATATTTTTCTTGGTCTTATTTTTTAATGAACACACCCACATAATCTCCCAATAGGTTTCTTCGCTGGTGTCGGGTAGCTTCTGAATTTTGACCTGGTGTTTGTCAAACAAGATTGCCACACTATTTGTGCAGTTGTAATTCCTACTAATTAATGTTTGTAAAACATGTAGTCACGTGACCACTCCTCTAATAATAATAATAATAATAATAGTCACTAAATATTATGGGATTTCTCCGTCCAGACAGAGCATGCCATTGAAGCAGGAAGACCCGACCTTATTGTTGTTGCTATTGGCTCTGCTGCTTCACATCATACAAGTGTGTGTGTGTGGGGGGGCACTAAAGAAAGTGGAAAGATTGAAAAAAAGACCAGGATTTAGCTTGGGAGCTGAAGAAACTTTGAAACATATCAGAAGTAATACAAGAACAGAGGCAGCGGTAGAAAATGACAGTCACAAGATATTATGGGATTTCTCAGTCCAGACATATGTCATTGAAGTACGAACGTCAGAACTTATTGTTATAAATGAGGAGAGTGGCAAGTGTCAAGTTATTGGCTTGGCTGTTCAACGTGATACAAGAGGGCGGGGACTCTAAAGAAAATGGAAAAATTGAAAAATCCCAACATCTGTCTGTTGAATGTATTTCCGTAGTAATGGGAGCACTTGGGAAACCACCTAGAAAATTGAAAGAACAGTGATGGAAATTGGAAATGAGTCCAAGATTGTAGAGTGCACGAAAAACTGCAATCATTTACTCAGCAAATTCTCGGAAAGATTATTGTGTTGTGGGGAGATTGCTGACGCCATGCATCAAGAACAAAATTTTCGTTGTGCAGCACCAAATTAATAATAATAATCACTTTTATGCAAAAACAGACTCTGGCGATTCAAAATTATAGGTAACACATCTCGTGAATGAATACGAAAAATTTTCAACCAACCAGAAAGCAGGCCGCTGAATTTCACAGCCTATCTTCTTTTTCGCATGTAAAAGAGCAACGGATTGTTTTCGGCTTCTCACTCATTCGCCAATCAATCCTTATATCATATTTGAACAAAAAAATGTTAGCCATGTTTAATGTGGACATGCTATCTCATTATCGACAGCATAAAAATATATTGCAAGGGTTGAGGCTGAAAATTTCATGAAGCTAGAATGAAAGCAAATGAGCTTTATTTCTCAACGTTAGTCCCCACCACGTTCCACACATTTCTGCCATCAGTGTTGCAGTACGTGGATCCCATTGTCGAAAAAGCTTTCATCCTGTTGGTGAAAAAAGACACCAACAGCAGATATGACGTCATCATCACTGCAATACTAGTTCTCAGCCATGTGTTTTTTTCATGTTGGAGAACAGATAATAGTCAAATGGGGTAAAATCAGGAGAATAGGGAGGGTGGTTAATCTGTTCAAAGCCACAGTCACGCATATCAGTCAATGAAACCCAGGACTTGTGTATTGGAGCATTATCCTAATGAAACAAAACACTTTTTGTCAGTTTTCTTGAATGTTTGGTCTTGATAGCCTTTCGTAATTTCCTCAACAAGTTGAGAGAGCACTCTCCATTGATGGTGTGGCCCTTTCAAAGATAGTCAATGAACACAATGCCTTTTGCATCCCAGAAAATTAAGGCCATCACCTTCCCTGCAGATGAAATGACCTTGGCCTTCTTTGGAGCAGGTGAGTTTCCACTGCATGGATTTTCTCTTCGTCTCTGGCGCAAAGCGATGAACTCAACATTCATCTTAGGTTAGGAAACATTCAAAGAAACCAGATGGATCTGCCTCAGTGTCAGATTTTCCCGTGATGTGATCAAGCTGGTGCGCTTTTGATCAGGTGTCAGAAGATAACGCACTCAGCGAGCCTTTGTCATGCTAAATTCATTGCGGGGATTATTCTCAACTCTCTCACGAGATACACTAATAGCATTGGCTATTTGATTTATAGACATTTGCCCGTCTTCCATCAACATGTGGTGAACACGAACAATGTTTTCGTCGGTGGTGGAAGTTGTAAGATGTCCAAACCTTGGATCAACCTAAAAAAATCAACCTTCACCTCCTAAATTAAATTGTCTACTTTTGCACTGTTGATAAAGCTGGAACGTTATCCCCTAATATAGCAACCGTATCAATAGGAATATCCTTGGGGGTTACACCCTTTTCTTGGGGTAACTGATAACACCCCGATGCCAAATCTTGTCCATTTTCAACAGAAGTCGCTACAAGTTATTTTTGAAGATTTCTTCGAACAGTCAGATTTCAGTTTTTAAAGAAACAATGCAGGTATTAATAAGAAGAGTTGAAATTAATGTATGCAAGATTTCACAGTTGTAGCATCATTCCTTCATAGTCAGCCTATGATATTTTCATCCCACCCTCGTACCTGGAAAGAAACAATGGAATTATTAATAAGAGTTAAAAGTAATGCAAAATTTCACAGCTCTAGCCCCATTCCTTCATAGCCAGACTATGAAGATTTCGGCTCATCTTCGTACAAAATGATTCTTACTGAAAAATTCTTTTAGCAAGAACTTTCTAAACAACGACCGAACTGTTTTTATAAAGTCCAACTTTATTTTTTACAGGGAACACAAACCCTATCTAAAACAACAAATTCAACTTACTAAGTGTACATATCAATCTTTGTATGTGTTATGGGATCTTACCCATAATAATAATAATGGACTATTACATACTTAATAAATACGGAGCCTCAGTCATCAGTAGTTCAAGTGGAGTCAGTAGTTCAAATCAAGTCAAGAGTCGAGTCAGAGGCAGTCCGAAACAGAGTCGCGTTCAGACAATGACTACAAGACATTGGAATAGTGATACTGGTCGAGACTACATTGTTCTCTCTACTAAACCTGATTGTTCGTACTAACACTTTCTACTTCTCTGTATATATTCCTGTTTGTAATATATCTGTGTTATTCCATATACGTGTTCGAGTTCTTCTTTATTGGTTCTACCTTGGACCATCACCGTGGTATAAGGACCTGGACCATAACCGTATGATTCATATTTATGAAATTTTATCATTATTTGCATTATGCAAATTTACTACGCATTCACTATATTGCTAAAATTTCGTATCATGATGAATGCCTAGTGGAATATGTTTAGCGCCTGAACATAATATTCCGTTTATTATATATTACAATTATTGGTTGTTATAAAGTTTATTTATTTGAATATACATGAGGTTTGTGTTGATTCATTCAACTCTATGGAATTTAAAAGTTGGGTACTGTTATGTATCGTAAGCATTGTGCGCGTTCACACGATAAACACTAAAGAAGCAAATAAAAGTTTAGTTTTCTACTACGGATTGTTTATTCGCTTTTAGTGACTGTAGTGAAACGAAGTTCTCAATTTCTTTTGGGTATGTCTGTTTTCTTTTTTGGTTCAGAAGTAAGTTGAGTTAAGTAAAGATAAGAACGGATCAAATGGTCGAGCTCAAGTCAGCCTTGCGCTGAGTTGGAACGACCATATTACTTCATGAGTATAGCTGCAAGGCACTTTTGAAAATTGGAAAAATAAAGATTCTGTCTCTTGTAGAAGTGGGGTCATAAATTGGCGGAGATTACCAAAAACCCTTTCTGGTTCCTTTATTATTTGCATCATGGGAAAATTAATTTAGTTACACTTTTTCTATTTTATTCTTTATTATTATTTTATTTATTTGTTTTATTTCATTTTCCCGCAATTCCTCTTCGCCTATTCTCGGCTATGTTACGTCATCAGAGCAGAGACAACATGGAAGCAAGAGGCAGGTAAAACAATAATCATTTGATTTCGTGCCTCTACTCTGTAAATATTAATGAACGTTCATGATTAATAAAAACAATAATAAAAATGAATGAAAAACTAGTAAAACTTGGTAAACGACTGAGTTTGAATCGCCGTGCGTGACATTTTGTCACGTACAAAAGATTACAAGGCACATTTATCTGACTGAATTAAAATTATCAGATTGAATTAAAATTATTAGACTGAATTAAAATTAACAACATTAAAAGTTTAAAGCCATTGTCGATAGAAAAATTTCCTTTCTCCAACCCACTTTGCTTATCGTCTTATCAGTTGTGCAAACTATTGGCTAAATCACAATTTTTATCAGTTACTTACTTGGCTTTGGCTGGGGTAGTTTCCAAATAATATTAATCTCAAGCCCCAATGGTGGTCATCCTCCCAGGCAGTGCCTCTCATTTGGGAGAAGGTGTGGCGGAAAATAAAATAAAACCAATAAGTAAAATAATAATAATAATAACGAATAATAATAAAAAAATATATTCATTTTCCCATGATGCAAGTTATAAAGAAACCGGAAGTGGTTTCTGGTCACATGTGCGATTTTATGACCCCCCCCACTGTGTTGTTTTGAAAGGTTAGTAATGATAAAACGGAGAACAAAAAGGGAATAACAAGTGAAGATAGGATATGTTGTTTACTAATTGACTACCATTACAAAAGTGCCCACGTGGCCTAAAAAAGGGGCTTTCGTATTTTCATAGCTAGAAGAGTCTATATCTTTTTAAGGGTCCAAGAAACGTAATTTAGATTACACTACATTCCTCTTTCAAGCCATAAATTTATAAAGACAGTTTTTTGGGTGGTCGAACTTTTCTACCACTCTTTGTAAATACAGGTTTGGGACTTTCCGAGTTAACAGGTCGGATATCCCTGTGTGCAGTTATCTGAATGTCTGGCTGATCACTTTGTTCTGTTGAATTATCGTGGCTGTACACGGGAATGTCTCTGCGTTCATTTGGTAATATAGACGATTCTGTTGGTGTGGCTACTTGGGAAAACTTGGTTTCCACATTTCTTTTCCGAAGATGGATTCTATTTCTACGAAGCAATCCAGCATCAATCTCAAC